GCATCAGTCTAAAAAACTAAACTTTTTTAGTATAACAAATGTGAGGATGAGAGATTGCATAATCGAGCTCTAAAGACGAAAGAGTAGTTATCGAATTAATCACATTGAATAGCTTAAATAGTTCACTGAAAATTTTGAGATTATCTCTAGTTAAACATTATCCCTACTTCTGCAATTATCGAATTGTACTTTATCTCATGTGATAGGAGTTTATGCGTGAGTCCAAGCTCGGTAAGAAAGAAAATAGTACAGGGTACCCTCTAATGTTAAAAGGTATAAAAAGAAAAAAAGAAATTTATCTCCACAATGGACATTGTCCACTTTGGGAATAGCCTTCACAGTTTTGCTTTTGGTTACACCCAAAAGACCTCAGACCAATGGAGATAATTGTCCTCTCTTATATACGCATGATCAATGTTCACAATGTCGAGCGACACGTCGACATGTCGACGTGTCGTTTTTTTTTCTTCCTCTTCTCCTTTTTCATCATCTTCCTACTATGCCACTACAGTCTATAATTTCTCACAACCTTGACGATGGTGATCTTAGTATATTCAATGAAACATTCGCATTTTAATATTAATAAGATTTGGAATTTGTTTTATTGATCATTTCTAATTCAATCTAGTCCTTAGTTACACAGTTGAACAATATATGTGAAATATTGACATATATAAAGATTGAAATAATCTTAGAATTTTTATAAAATAAAATATTATTATATACAAATAGTGGTGATACATGAAGTAGAATAGATAACTTAATTAATACCAAAAAGATGACCTCGGAGGATCTAGTGCATTATTTTCATAACTTTGATATAAATTACAATAGTTCTCCCAGGTCATCGTAGACTGAAAGTTTTGAAGGTAGTTATTCAAATGAGTAGAATATGACTCATATGAAGCATATATGGATCCCATTGGTAGATAATTTGGATGAATGATACAATCATGAGGTTGAGGTTGAGGGTGATAGTCATAACCATAAGGTGAGTATTCAGTTTGACCATACCCAGAGTAATAAGAACTTCCTTGACCATAACTTTGTTCTTCTATGCTGTTGGTGCTTATACTCATTGTTCTAATACTCGAGATTAATGAATTATCATCATATTGTCCCAAGTAAGATTCTGCATCTTGATATCTATAAAGGTTTACCAATAGCAGCAATCCCCTCAACACCCATCCGAGATCCATGGTTCTCATCTTGGGTGACATGATCAAATCCAACCTCACATGAAAAAGGACTTATTCCTAGATTACTTGATTGTCCCGCCTTTGTTGCGAAATTATGTAAATTTGATTGGAAAGTTGGATCGATGATTGATTTGAAAATGTGTTTGAAAAATGTGTAAATTCAAATTTGAAAAGAGAAATAGGTAAAAAATAAACATGTACGAGTTAATTAGAATTTAGGAATGTGTTTGGAAATCAAGTCGGTAATTATCTCATTTCTAAATGAATCATATTATGAAAAACATTAAAGAAGCAGTCAAAAGTTTACAATTAAAGTTTACTTTACATATTCAAATAATTTCCATCAATCTTAAGGAAAAAATCTTTTTTCGATATTTCCATCGACATCGACATTTTCATAAGTAAAATGGTTATATTCTTACAATGGTTAAAGGTAATCAATTATAGACTAATTAAGCTACAATTCAAGTTTTATTTGCTAATTCAAAAAATTTCCACAATTTCCATTATTTTTCTCGAAATATCGATCGACATCGACATTGTCATCGACATTTTGAACATTGCCCATGACATTCCCTTCCCTAATCAACGTGGAACAGTCAGATAACCAATTAGAAATCAATTGAATATTTCCATAATTTTTTCTACAGTATACAAGAATCAATGAATGATATTTATAAATACCAATCACAAATTAAGAAAAATTTAATCAAAAGAAAAATCTTCATCTTCATCTTCAAAATTCAAAATTCAAAATTTACGCCGTGGTAATTCGTCCAACAATGACAGTAATATCATCAACCTTCCCTCCACAGTGGCTCCGCCCCGCTTCCCGAGCCTCCGCCGCGAACG